ATTAACCGACTTGTGAGATAATCACTGTTTAATTTTAAGCAATCAAATTAATTACGTTAATATTAGATGCCACAAATTTATTGTCAGTTAACGTTGTCTTTGTTCATTCAGAAGACGATTCTGTGGACTGTTCATAAAGAACTTCGAATTATTTGATATCTTGTTTCCAGATAACCAACAGCTAATACATGAAGATGTTTATTACTTGTTGATTTCAGCTAAACATCGGTTACGCAATTTAAATATCCACAAAAGTATGTTCTGAACACTTGACTACTTATTAGTAATGTGCATTGCACAATCAGATTTTTAGAATTTTGATCAGTGATTACTTGTTTATCCTAGTTTGGATTATACAATGATATTGTTTCAGTATATCAGATAATTCATCTTTGATCTAATGGAAATACTTCTACTCTCAACTTAAAGATTTAATTTATCCGTTCTAATAATAATCAACTCAGTTGACAAGAATGCTCATCATGATTGTAAAAGCTTATAGTTACCCTTGTATGAATGAATTTTGTAGATGTCATGATATTAGGCCAAATTATTTTTTTATATACAAAACTTTCAAGTCTGTCGTTAAGACACCAGTTTACTCTAATGTGATTCCATACTTCAATAATATTTGTTTTTAAAAATTGCATGCTACAGGCGCTGAAATTATTTCGCCTGTAGCACTTCCAGGGTGACTGTCAGTTAATGGTCCGAACAAATGAGCAGTGTAGAGCATGAAGTCAGCAACATCATCCTGTAGAAGACAACCTTTCTAAACACACGCTAATATCACGGAAATAAAATGACATCATATTTTTGGGTAATATTATTTGCAAAGGATTTCAATGAGAAATATAATTAACTTGATTGGTATTATAAGATTGTATTGTTGTTACATAAGTCTTTTTGACAGAAATAAATCATTGAACAATCTCTTGAATTCTGAATAATCATAGCTTGCATTTATGGTTGTATCTGATGCAACAATATTGAAGATCATGTGTTCATAACACTAGATCTGAATTAATTCTTATAAAAAGAAAATTGAATGTATTGAAAAAACGTTTCTTCGTTCAAATATTTCCTCGTGTTAGAGAACCTAAATCCATCAGTCAGTAGTTTTCAACATCGAATATTAACATGAGTGCATTGGTTCAAGTTGTTGAACCATACACTTACAGTGAGATGAAATTATCAAGTTAAATTTCAAAGTAATAAAAGTTGTTACTTCATCGGTAATAGAAGAAATGAATAGTGATAGGAAGAAAAAAAATAAAGCATTAGAAGATCTTAGTACTCAAGATCTGAGAGAAAATGAAAAATCAGTTACTACCTTGATCTGGCGGTTGGGCCCATGTTTTGTAATAACACAATTGAACTATATAGACTGGAATAATCCTCACTTTAGGTTCTACTGTAACAGATAGATGGATTGGAGAACGGTGAAACCAAAATCAACAACAATAGGTCTCAAAATTCAGTCCTCCTGTTAATTACACAGATGTATGATAGTAGTAAGGCGTTTCTTTCAGGTAATCACTATTAGCAGTGATACTACTTACTGATAATGGACGGATGGAATTAAGAAATGTAATCCCTAAAAATGTCACGCCTCACTTTACCCTACAGATTTTAGTCTTTATAATACTGATCGAATATATCAGAAACATTCATCTAAAAAGTTATGTGATTGGCCTCAAGTAATTGTATATTGGGCTCTGCAATCACGATCCTAAATAGCTTTCATCAGGTCCCTTAAGACAAAATATCATTTTAGTGTGGGAGACCGGTACAAGATAATTTACCTCATACTTCTAAGATCCTTAAAAGAAAGCTTAAGAAATTAGTAATGATGTCAGAATTAAATAAAATAAAACTGTTACTGGACATTTATATGAACAATTAAAAAAAAGAAGAACTAAATCTCTTAAAGGACCCTGTTATGATGATTTGTGGAATTCTACTATAAATTGTTAACAAAACCTAAGCTTACAATATACTTTAAACTAGTAGAGTACAGCTATCTATTGGACGATCTTTGAAATCCAAAAGGTGAATTGGTTTAGATTATTTTATTCACTTGAACAGTACCTAAAGTGGTTCCAAAAATCATTCTACTATGCCCATTTTTAGATATTTTAAATACTACTACTACTACTACTACTACTACTACTACTAATAATAATAATAATAATAATAATAATAATGACATATTACTTACTTACTTACTTACTCCTGTTACTCCTAATGAAGCATAAGCCGCCGACCAACATTCTCCAACCCACTCTGTCCCACTGTGCCTTCCTTTCTAGTCATATCCAATTCATGTTCATTCTTCTCATGTCTATCTCCATTTCTCAGAGTAATGTGTTCTTTGGTCTTCCTCTTTTCCTTTGGCCTTGAGGATTCCATGTGAGGGCTTGCATTGTGACGCACGGTTGTGTACTTTCCTCAATGTGTGTCCTATCCACTTCCAGTGTTTCTTCTTGATTTCTTCCTCCACTCGAATCTGGTTTGTTCTCTCCTACAGTAAGTTGTTGGTGATAATGTCTGACCAGTTGACCCGAAGTATTTTGTGTAGACAACTGTTGATGAACGCTTGTATCTTCTGGATGATGACTTTCGTAGTTCTTCAAGTTTCCGCCTCATACAGTAGAACTGTTTTGACATTTGTATTGAAAATTCTGACTTTGGTGTTAGCAGTTGACAATTATTTTGAGTTCCAGATATTCTTCAATTGTAGATATGCTCTTGCCTTGTCGATCCGTGCCTTCACATCTGCATCAGATCCATTGTGTTCATGAATGACGCTGCTGAGATATGTAAAGGTTTTTACATCTTGCAAATCTTCTCCGTCAATTGTGATTGGATTGTTGCATGCTGTGTTGTATTGGAGAATCTTGCTTTTCCCTTTGTGTATATTGAGACCTACTGCTGCTGAGGCTGCTGCTACACTCATCGTCTTCTACTTTATTTGTTGTTGCATGTGCGATGGATGATCCAGATCATCTGCGAAGTCTGGATCGTCCAACTGTGTCCTAGATATTCACTTTATCCCATGCTTCCTCCCCCTGGAGTCCCTCCGAGGGCTAATGCTGGTCCCAAGCCTGGATAAAGTAGGAGGGTTGGGCATGAGGTTCGCCACTCCATCCAGTAGAAAACTAACTCGCTAAAAAAACACTAACCAGAAAAAATAATGACATACTACTATAAGTATATTTAAGTTGTATATTTTTAGCAATTATGCAGGATAATTCATTTTTGTATTGATTGTTTGAATCTTCCCCTTGACTGTGATTGATCAGTCTCTTATTGGAGCCTAGATTTGTGATATTATTCTGTAAAAGCAATTCAACGTTGATAGATAATAGTTTCTGTTTTATATAATTAGTCAGTACTGATTAACCATGGGCAATTTTAAGTATTGTAATAGATTAAACTACCTTCATTAACCACGATGTCTATTAGCTACAGTATTGAATTTACCATAATGTTTTTAATATGGGTACATTCTGCTATTTTTTCTTCTTGTAGGTTATTATGAGTGCAATTAATTTGTTCCCATTTCGTAGAATAACAAATTAAGACTCAAATCATGTGCTACTTAACTCTGCCTGTAATTCTTCTAAAGCTACTGCCGGTCTCAAGCCCGAGTAAAGAAGGTGGGTTGGGCTTAGGGTCAACACCGTCATCCCGTAGATAACAACTCTGTTAAAAAATCTTCTACCCATGTGCCATTTGGTACAGAAAATAACTATAAAGCGACATCATGCCAAAAAATGTAAAGCCACCATTAAAATTTGAATTATTTTTTCTGGTTAGCGTTTTTTAGCAAGTTAGTTTTCTACGGGACAGGGTCACTAATCACATGCCCAACCCTCCTCCTTTATTGGGGAGTAACAGACGTAAAGTAATTAAGTAAGTATCATCAAAATTTACTTAAAACTCTAGTGATCTTATGAATTTTATTTCCGTTTTGCATTAAATCTTAAACTAGCCTTCATGTTTGTTCAGATCAATATTTACTTACTTTATGGAAGCTCAAGTGCAATTAAGTTTGTTCACATTTAATTTGGTTAAGACCTGTTGTTAACTCATTTAACGGTTAGAGTCATCCGTACCATAACAACTTATCTATACCTTTATAAATTTATTATTACTACACTTGTATGAATATGTATGCTGCAGCATTGCTTACTGCCTACACATATATTCATTCTGATAGCTTTAATGTTAGTCACTTAATTGATTCAATGATTCATTCATTTCACTATGCAAATTTTAATCCTGTCCATTGACTCACCAACTAGCTCACTCGACTAGCTCATTTGACTTGCATACTCACTCCCTTGCCCGCTTGCATTTCAGCACTACTCTTTCATACTTGCTTAGTGTACCTATAATTTTGGTTATCTGTGCATGGTGCAATAATAAACGTAATCAACACTTCGTAATCACCTTCTGATTAATGCACCGTTAGGGGTGTTATCTATTAACAGTTATCAGAACGAACTATATACCGACTACCACACCCTGCATAGCATTTAGTTAATTACACTAATTTAACTTCGATCAATCTGCCAAAAAAACACTAACAATAAACTGATTCTAAAACAATGTTTCAAACAATTATTAAAAGTCAGAAAGGGTTTTGTGGAGGCTTTAAAAATCTCAATAGTTGAAATCATAATTCAACTGAAGCTAGACCAGCATGGGAAACCTGCAAGCATTGGATGGTCGTTTCGTCCGAGTAGAGGACTCCTCAATAGCTTCTTCTTTATTCAACCAATTCAACTTTGTGAAACAAATATTTCATAAACATACACGTGAGTGAACATGTATACAAACAATATGCATATTAAATAATTTATTCGGACCAGTTTTGTTTCTACTTTCTTTCTTTCTTTTTTTCTTATGACCACGCACAACAATTCCGTTTGCACACACACACACATACACAAACACAAAAATAGATAAATATTCTGAATCTTTCTATACATTTGCCCATTTTATCTTATTTTACATGTAGTCAAGTGTAAATCTACACACACACACACACACTCACACACACACAAACATACATACATACACTTTAATATATGCACATAAATAGTATTTCAATAATTTTATTCAAATTATAGTCACTATGTTGTATATTAACAAGTAAATATATTCAAACCAAGATTGTTTCTCTTTTTACAATATTGTAATGATCATAAAATGAGTAGTTTAAAAGCAATTATAAAAAGTGTTGATATGCCTGATGTAATGCAACAAGATGCTGTAGATATATGTGCTATGGCAATTAAAAAATATTCAATGGAAAAAGATATTGCAGCATTTATGAAAAAAGAATTTGATCGAAAATATTCACCTAGTTGGCATTGTATAGTTGGATCACATTTTGGCACGTAAGTTTACTTTACACTCTGTTTATTTTCATTATAGTTATCCTATGATATTTTATCAAGTAGTTTCTAAGTATAATTTTCATAGAGTGAATGAATTCATAAAGTATTTTTTTTAAAGTAAAGATGGATAGTGGCTAGCAGTGGAATCGAGGACGCACGTTTCATCTTATTTGGGACTCCTCAGACTGACCAATTGTAATCCTAAATAACAATGGGAAGATACATGTAAAACAACAACAAGTGAATTTAATTCATCAAGTTGTTTAGATGATGACTGCCTATGATTATGAAATTTTTGGAATAGGATAATAAGATTGTCCTTTAGTTTGACAATTAAAAACAATTATAAATGAATCTTATTTTGTTGTAACCTCTTAAACATTTGAAATGTAATAAACACCTGATGAAATTTACAACCTTATCTTGAGTTGCTATGACAGATGGATAGAAACCGTTGTGTGAACTTATTTGACCTTTGCGTATGTAATTGTGACGTTATCGGTTATATTTTAAGTATTCCTATGCAAGTTACTGACCTTTCATCCATATAGGTGTGCTTGAGTGTGTATATATGGAATGGTATTTATCATATATATATATAACTATAAACTAAGTTATAAAATTATTTAACGGATTTGGAGTAAAGCCGATTTCCAAGCTTAATCGGTTCATTTCATTCATAGTTTATCTCCCTATATGAATTCATAAACTATAACCTTCAAGTTACATTTTGTATTTACCTTGAATTTACCTTTTATATACGATCGTTCCAAAGTACGGTTCCTAGAAGTGTTATATATGAAATTAAATGATTAGGATATATATTTCATAATCATTATCATTGTACTCAGATGCTCCACCGTAAGTCTTCTATAAAAAAATATGGATTTTCCTCATATTTAATTTACTACTTACTACAGAATATACGGTCATGAATCGTTAGCATTACATAACTAAGTACATTGTAAAATGTTTGATTTCTACAATAACTTTCGCTTTACCGTCAAATGAACAGTAACAAATGCCTCCATAGTACTTAATAGCTGAATGGTTTGAATAACGTTTGTAAACTATACTTCCATTAAGCACACAGGAAACAATACGAACTGAAGTGAAATCCAGGTTTATAAATTGTAATTGTATACCTTGTCAGCTCTTGAAATACACATTATCCTTTTGATAATTCTAATACACTTTACTTTGAATGAAGTTCTTTTTAAAAGAACTTCTGAACTTAAATGAATACACATGAAAGCAAAGTATATTTTTTTCACGAAGCACTGTCGATGTATTCTCCTTTAGCTTATTTTGAGATAATTTCCAGTATGATTCTATGAGATAGGGACAAAAGATAGGGTCTGATCCATGTTTCCTACTCATTGATACTTGTCTATCTGAAAATCCTTACATGTGTTGCACAAAACTACTGGCCTTAGCTCAAGACAATAATACGGAACTATTCAGAATTATATCGACCCACTATAGGGTTTCTATGTTTACATTGATTAGCTACTGAGTAGTAACCAAAGTCATTTTACTGATTCAGTCGTAATGGTTGAATATTGTTAAAACCGTTCGTTATACAGGTACAGAATTAAAAGATAATTACTTTGTTTACCATTATTTATTTTGTTACAATACAGAGTTACCAGCACCAGTTCCTAGTTATTATAGCATTTAATTCAATTCATTCAAATATACATTTTACAAAAGTCTTTTAGTAGTTAGTATCTCGTCTCATTAGTGTCCGCGAAAGTTTTCCACCAGTTTAGTTGCTACAACCACTTTTTTTTCAATGAATCATAATTTTAATGAATAAGTTCTAATGTAATGGTCTCTCATTTCTTTCATGGATAGATAATGAGAAATGTTTAGCAATGGTTGATACGTTTCAGAACTAGTTTTTAACATTTAGCATCTTGATAAGCTATAAGCTTTCTATCATAATAAATGGGTACAGTCTGTTAATATTTTAGAATTATTCACTTCTAATGCAGAAGAGTATTTTTGGCATCATTTGCAAAGTTGACTAAAATATTTGACCAGACTCACCTAATGTGTGTAAAATTGTACATTTTTCACTAAGTAATGATTATCCAATTCAAGTGACACCATTACAATGATGGTCAACAGAATGTGATCAACAATATGGACTAAATATCACAGTAGTATTTAATGTTCATTGAAAATTCTGATAGTTTAGATTATAGAATGATAAAAAATTTCCACAAAGATTTATTTCAATAGTTGAAATCATGGATCAATTGAAGCTAGACCGCCATGAAAAAACTTGAAGCACTGGACAGTTTGAACGTCTCGGGGGGGGATGGGATCATGGATGAGCACTGCTGAGGTGTCTCATACTAGGACGAAGCGGCCGTCAAGTGCTTCCAGGTTTTCCATGCTGGTCTAGTTTCAATTGGCTCATGATTTCAATCAGTGAAATTTCCAAAACCCCTTCTGATAAAGATTTATTTATTCTCTCTTGTGTGTGTTTTTGTTGTTCTGTTTTAGAGACAAGTCTTACCAAAAGTGAAAATAATAATGTTAATAGTTTTGAATGTGTTGTAAGGCGTGTTATTTATGTGGTTTTTGATTTAGCTAGTAGCATATTTGTCTTATCAAAACACTTTTGTATCATAGAAAACTTATATGTACTTTAGAAAACTGATTGTTTTACTACAGTTTCTGAAATCTTATTATTATGGAAAACTTAATGAATACTTATAATATATCATATCCCTGTAAATAATTATACATTAATATTCAATAGGGGTTTGTTCTTTGAGCTGGATAGTTTGGTCGTGGAACTTTCATCGTACTTCTGAAGGACATCATCAGCAAAAACTTCATGTAGAAGTCATAGAACTGATTAATTTTATAAATCATATGTTGACATTCAAAATAAGCGCAAAGTTATTATGCCAGTAATATCAGTATCATGTCAAGTTATTACTACTTATTTCAATAATATCATTGTTGTTATTAAAGATATTTGAGTCATTAATGAAAATCTGTTAAATGTTTATAAAATGTTTAGTCATTTTTAAATGAGAAAACAAAGGTTATGCTGTGAATAACTTATGCATTCACTTAACCAAACATTTAGCATCAAAGTTAAGATAGAATAAATAGGTTATGAAAATGTGTTGTTACAAATAAGCAGCAATTGACGATTGTACACCTGGTAACAGTAGGAGAGTGTGTTTAAAGTATGAGTGAATTGTCAGAACCCATACAGGAGGCTGTCTTTTAATAATCTACAAGTGTGTCGTTTTTTGGTTTGTATTGAAGTATCTTAGAAGTAGCATATTCATAAAGCTATATCTTCTTCAGAAAATGGTCGTCTAATACTTGTATTTATTTGAGTCTGTGATTTTCAGTTTGGAATGTGTTTGGTTCATATCTCAACATACTAATCTTGAAAGCTAGATTATGAATATAGCATAATCAATTTCATATATTAATATTAGTTATGCTGACATGGGTCACAATGCTTCTTGATTACAACCATTGTTGATTAGTCTATGTAACAATACTGAATAATATTCGTACCTTTTGTATTCCATATACGTTTCTATTTAAACAATTCACTGGGATATTTAAACTAACATTTGAAGCGAATTATCAGTTAAATCCTTCATTACTAAAACTTAAAAACTAATTTATCAAGTGGCAACTTTATTACCCTACGGAACATTCCATCGTTTTGCATGTATCTACCCACGTCGAACCTCCAAAGGTTGAATAGGGAAGGCTTACTGTTTCAACGAAATATGCCTTTGAACAAATTTCGATTACAGTAGGAGAGACTATAACACATCATACCTGGTGTACATATAAAAGATATCTAAACGTTACAATCAACCACCTCTTTACTTTACACGAATATACAATTCACTTCATCCTTAACATTAGGGTGCTTTCAATCTATCAAGTGCAGTAAGTTTACTGGTACTTCTGGAATTTAGGGCCGTAGCTTTTATCATCAGATCAACCAACAAATTTGATGCTTATCATCTTATCATCCAACAAATTATTTTAAATATATACATCCTTTCTAGTGAATGCATTCTAACCATATTTTCATTTTAATCTTTTTTTCTGTATAACCTCCTTCAGGTATATTTCACATGAAGCAAAACATTTTATTTATTTCTTTTTGGATAATCATGCTGTTGTATTATTCAGAACTGGAACAATCAATTGAAAATCAATATATGTAAACTAATAATCTTTTTATTGGACAATTCTATCAATCTATTGTATCCTATTGATAACAGTACAAAATTCCCTATTTTCTATATACTGATTAAATCACCTTATCTATTCTTTTATAAAGACAAATCTAACAAACAATCAATAACTCACTATATATATTCTTTATTTGTCTTACATTTGTCATCATACTACTTATTTACTTACTTACTTACGCCTGTTACTCCCAATGGAGCATAGGTCTTCGACCAGCTCCCGTGATATATTATTTCATGTAATCAATATTTTACAAGAAATTCATATTTTCTATCAAAATGACTATTTTTTTCTTTGAGAAATAAAACTCTTGTTCAGAAAAGAGCATATTTTATTGTTGTTAATCTTTATATTTGATTAGAAATATGTTTGAAGTGTATGAGAATAAAATGATCTTTGTATGAATTAGTTATGTTGATGTAACTGTAAATATAGATATGAAGTATTTTAGTTTGAGACAAATTTCAAAGTGTCAGAACTAATGGTAACAGTAGGTTGTTCAGATGAAAATAGATAGAATAGACAAAGATGGATAGTGGTTAGTAGTGGAATTCATGTATACGCGTTTCATCTTATTTGGGACTTGTTATCTGGATATACCTGAATCACAGATTTGATATATGCACATATGTCAATAAGAGACTGATCAATTTCAGTCTTAAATATCAATAAGAAGATTCAAGTAAAACAACACCGATTGAATTTAGATGAAATAAGGCTTAAATCTGCAAAGCCAAACAACTTAACAACTAAACAATATACATATATATATGTAGTAGCAATGACGTTCAATATTTAAGAATAGTTGAAGTACAGTTGACAAATTTTGATGGAGTTTTGTACTCTAAGCTAGATGGTTTAATCGTTAAATTTTTATCGTTCTTCTGAACGACATCATCAGCAGAAACTTCAAGTAGAAGTGAAGTGTTCGAATTTCTGCACATGTGATTCACACCTTGTCCTGTAGACCTCGATGTTGATTGGTTCTTGTTGACCTTAAACCTGTCGTTAGATGACAAAGCCAATTAATTGAGTAACCTGTTACTTTGAGATTATGGTAGCTCCTGATTAAGACACTAAAACTAATATTATATTTGTTATTTGATTTATTAGATTAAGCATAAGAGTAGTTAACTATCTTCTAGTTTCGTATAAGAAGTTTCCATGTCTGTTAATCGGTTAAGTTACATTTTGACCACATTTTTTTGCGAACTTAAGAAATGCTTTAGTAAATTGAAACTTTTAATTTGTCCTGTAACCATGATGTTTATTCCACAAATATAAACTAAATTAATTCCTTTTTTTGCGGTTTATCAAAGAAAATTAACCTTAACTACAATCATCATCCATCCGAAGATTTCAACATCAATCTGATGAAATGAATTCATCTAGTTGTACTATGAATTTATAGAAATACTTAAGTAATAAATATCCTCTTCAGATACTATATAATCCAGATTATAATAACTGAGTTTTTGATTGAGATCATGAACCGATTGATGTTGGACCACCTTTGGAAACCTGGAAGCACTGGACGGCCGTTTCATTCTATTATGGAACTTCTCAGCAGTGCGCATCCGCGGTCTCGTTCGCGGGATTTGAACTCAGGGCCTTCGGTCTCGCGCGCGAACGCCTAACCTACTGGACCACTGAGCCAATGGTGATAGTGTCTAACATCAACCAATCCACGAAATTGCGCGACCATCTCCCATTGTACTGAGGTAGATACCTGTCTCTACCCGACATGGATTAGCTCCACTGGTCACGGCCTCTCACTAGAACTCCGAGAATTCCCTCACGAAGCTAGTCACTAGTGAGCACATGTTTATTACTAGTATGGAGGTTGTGGAGTTTATTAGGTTTTTGATTGAGATCATGAATTAAAATTCCCCTTCAGTTTTAATGATTTAAAATTTAGCTTACTTAAAAGAAATGTCCTAGATATAATAAGTCACTAGATCTATTCTCCATAGTTGGCTTAGTATGTTATATTGAAACAACATAAAATGAACAAAAAAATAATTTAAAAGTTGTTTATATGTTGAACTTTTGAAGGATTATTTCTTGAGAACAGTACATATTTACATAACATTAATTGTATTGTGGATTAAAAAGACATATCAGATGAGTCAATTGAAACGAAATCATCATGGAAAATTTAGGAGCACTACACGGCTGTTTCTTCTTAGTGTGCGACTCCTAAACAGTGTGCATCCATGATCTCATCCCAGGACCTATCTGTGTCGCGCGCGAATACTTAACCTCTAGACTACTAAGACGGCAGCTTTTAATTGTAATGATGACAATATATATATATATATATATATATATATATATATATATATATATATATATATATATATATATATATATATATAAAACTAAGGGTTCTATTCTAATGAAATAGACTTCTAATTTGCTTCATGATGAATTATGTAATCTGGTTGACACAATGTTTTTAGCAAGGTTTATTAAAATAACCCATAGTATCATTGAATAAGAAAGAGAGAATTTAGCGAAGAAAATTTTCCTATCTACGAAATCATTTACTTAAGATGTACATCTGTATATATAATTATATATGGAAAATAGATGTAAATGATTTCATCGAAAAAATAAAAAAAAATTTCTTCGCTGAATCCACTTTTTCTTGTCAAGATTTTTTTCTACGGGATGGGGTTGCCGACCTCACGCCTAACCCTCCTCCTTTACTCAGACTTGGGACTGGCAGTAACTTTAGGGCAGCTACAAGAGGAGTTTTCATGATGAATTACTAATAATATTTTTCTCTAAATTTACACAAATAGATAACAGCTGACTGAAGTATACGGAACTGAAAGAATCAATAGTGAATCGAAAAATTCTTTCATAATCATCAAATTTCTTATATCCGTAGTATAAACCAAGTCATTCGAGATTTTTCCATAACAAATGATAATAATTTACTTGGTATTATTTACTTGAATCTTCCCATTGATGATTAGGACTGCAATTAATCAGTCCCCTTATTGACACATGTACATACAGTGCTTATTGCCTCGATATTTCCTTAATTCACAAGCATTATAAGCAAAGATGAATAGTGGCTAGCAATGGAATCTAAGACGCGTGTTTCTTCCTATTTAGGACTCGTCAGCTTGATGTTCACCCCGGGACTCGAACCCAGTATTGTTATTAATTGTAAATACATAGAAAGAAATTAAAGTTGTAAGATCAAAAATATACAGAAAACATTTTTTTATTTAAGAAAAGGAAAACACGTTTGTTCAAATTATTTTTTGATGCAAATAGTTTACTAAGTACATCGATAAAGTAAAAGACTGACTTCTCCACAATGTATATAAATGAAACACTTTTCATCATGTGTGATTGACCTAAAAAAGAAAAAAAAAGAAGAAAATAAAAGCTTAAGATAAAGTTAATTTGAAGTTTACTTCGTGAAAGGTTTTTGTAACAAAATGATGTATTAAAACTGTTTCCAGTGCTTTTTCCATATGCACTTCATATAAACTTTGATTAGAATAAATAACCATTTGATTTGATCTAGTAAGCTCAGTTATGTTATTGAAAACTGTCCACTGGAAATCGATGGATGCAAAGGAGCATCTGGATTTTGAGTTCTTCTATTCTTTTAGAAAATAATTTGAAAAAAATACGAGATTGTGTAAAACAACTTACAGACTTTTCACAAGCTGAAATCATGAGTCAATTGAAGCTAGACCAGCATGGAAAACCAGGAAGCACTGGACGGCCGTTTCGTCCTAGTATGGGACTCCTCAGCAGTGCGCATACACGATCCCGCACCCCACGAGATTCGAAGCCAGTACCTATCAGTCTCGCTCCATGCGCTCAATCAATTAGACCACTGAGCCAGCCGGCATCCAACGGTGTTAATGTCTAACTTCAACCAATCCACGAAATTCCACCACCGTACACCATTGTCTTCAGTGAGTTCCTATTTCACAACAGACCTGATTGAACTCGACTGGTAACGACTTCTCACTAGAATTCCAGGAGTGTCTTCTGAATGCAGTCACTAGTGAAGAGGTGATTATTATTATCAGAATGGGTTTTGTGGAGATTTTAGAAATTTCACAGGTTGAAATCATGAGTCAATTGAAGCCTCAATTGACTCATGATTTCAACCTGTGAAATTTCTAAAATCTCCACAAAACCCATTCTGATAACTTACAGATTATTAAGATGAAGGCGAACATGATTAATAGTATACTGAAATACTACAAATAGATTATTGATGAAAAATCAATACAGAACTGTTTACAAGTTCGACTGTGTTGTTTCTAATCGAATTTATATATTGAAAAGTTGGTTTATGAAATCTTGACTCAAGTATTTAAAAAAAACATCTATCGAAAAAACACCCCTCCTAACTAATCTTGTAGATTATTGCAATCAATAAATCAAACCAAGTACAGTAGCACATGATATATTTAACTACCATCGAATCAATATTATTAAAAAAAACACCCCAACAATTGAAAGGTATTCTTTTTTTCTAATTTACGGATAGGAGATTAATTAGAATAATTTACCCTGTTCTTCGATGTTCAAAAGAAAGAAAAGCTTACTTATCCAATCGAATTCACAAATCTTTGCAAATTGTCACATTAGCTAGTTTTTAAATCTTATAATAATCATATACGAATTAGGTAATGTAGGACATACATTAGGCATATCATCAAACTATATCACGAGGCAAGCCCTGACTTGAAATTCTGAAGGGAAACGGAAAAGAGGAAGGCCAAAGAACACATTACGTAGAGAAATAGAAGCAGAGATGAAAAGGATGAATAACAACTGGAAGGAGCTGGAAAGGATTGCTCAGGACAGAGTTGGAGGGAGAGTGGTGATGGGCGGCCGATGCTCCTTCACGAGGAGTAACTGGCGTAAGTAAGTAAGTAAGTAAGTAAGTAAGTAAGTAAGTAAGTAAGTAATTTGCATTTCCGATACTTATTAAAACAAAGTATAAACAGAATCATGTTTTATGGAGTCATATTAAGTTTTAGGTTTGGTTGTGATCTAGAATAAAGTTTCATACCTCAGCTAGTTTTTTTTTAGAAATAAACAGTTTATAAATCCGATTTTCTAATATATGTGTGTATATATGTGTATCTCCATACACATTGTACTTTATTAATATTCCATGAGTTCTGTCATTCCTCTCATTATACATGTGATTAAACTTGAAACATAGATTCTCAAATATTATAAATATCTTTCGTTAAATATAACATCCTATGTTGACACTTCAATGAAAACAGTTGACAGAGATCGTTATGAATTGACTTTTGTTAAGATACACTAATAAGAGGCATGGAAATAAACTTTTATTTTACAATTGAGTTACTAGTTACATTTTTTTTAAAAAAATGAATAGTTGCTAG